CACGCCCGGCTGATTTTTTGATTTATTGTAGAGATGAGGTCTCGCTGCCCAGGTGGGTCTCGAACCTGCGGGCTCAGGCAATCCACTCACCTCAGCCTCCCAAAGGCGCGGAATTACAGGCTGAGCCACCGAACCCGGCTAAGTTTATATTTTAGATAAACAACAAATAATTTTTTTGGCAACAGTATGTCTTAAATATTGCATGGAATCAAAAAACAAAAAACCCCCACTGTGTATTGTGCCCACCTATTAGGCCTAGTATATTTCCTGGAGTCCCCAAGTAGGACGGCCAGATTAAACAAATGAAAATACAGGACATCCAGTTAAGTTGAAATTTCAGGTGATTGTTTTAGTATAGAAGTGCACACCAAACATTGCATGAGATATACTTACACTAAAAAAATGCTATTTGTTTTCTGAAATGAGTGTCTCCTTCACCCAGAGGCAACACTACCCAGCAGCAGGCATGCCAAATCCCCCTGAGCTGCCTGAGGCCTGCTGTCCTGTCTCCTGGTCTCTTCTCCTCCCACCATTCTGTCAGAGGCAATGCAGCCCAAAGTAACAAGCCCCAACCTAGGTTCAAATGCCTCTCCACCACTCAATGGCTCTATAACTTAGCAAGTCACTTAACCTCTCAAAGCTGCATTGTTCCATCTCTGATACAAGGTCTTCTTCCAGGAATTAAATGAGACAATGTAGTATTAAATGAGATAATGTAGAATCAGCACCCACCTGGCCAGGTGCAGATTCTCTACAAACAGAAGCTGAGCAGTCCCTCATCACCCCTGGTTACTTTCTGGTTTAATCTCTACCCTTGTAAGTGTGGTCTGCCCCAAGAAGAGAGGTGAAGAAGGGATACACTCTCATCCCAAGTGACAACTAACACTTTCCTTCGAGAGACAACTGAGGTTTCAACTGTGGCCAGAGGATGCAAGGCTCTACAGTCCTGAGTCCACTGAAATTGTCTGAGACAGTGACACTCGGAGGGGTCCAACCCATCGGTGACAGTGCGAACACCCCACTGAGAAAACCTGGCCGTAGGCCTTTTCTAACAGAATGGCAGAGGGGTCAGGGAAGGTTGAGGAAGGAGTCAAAAAAGCAAGAACCAAGCAAGCCTGTTGTATGCAATTCTGAACAGAGTAGTCCTGGCTCTGAGTGGCCCGGGGCTTGAAACCCTCACTTGCACTGGATGAGTGCTGTGGATGAGGGAACACCGATGAGGGCGAAGGCTTAGGGTAGCCGCTTGGGTCTGCCGCTCTCACATGCACATGCATGTACACCACAGAGCAGGGTAGGAGACCTCCTGGCACTAGACCCTCTCTGTTGCCTGCTTGGCCTGTTCCCTGCATGCTTCTCGCCTCTGGGGCTTCCTAGCCCCTTAGTACCCTTGCTCAGCCTCGGGTCAGCTCTTAGGAAGATTTTATAGTTTAAGAATCAAATCTAGTCGGGCACGGTGACTCACACCTGTAATCCCAGCACTTTGGGAGGCTGAGGCGAGAGGATTGCCTGAGTCCTAGGGTTTGAGACAAGCCTGGATAACTTGGCGAGACGTCGTCTCTACAATGAATCAAAAAATGAGCCAGACATAGTGGTGCGTGCCTGTGGTTCCAGTTACTTGGAAGGCAGAAGGATCACCTGAGCCCAGCAAGTCAAGGCTACGGTGGCTGTGGGTGTGTCACCACATTCCAGCTTGGGCGACAGAGTGAGACTGACTAAAAAAAACCAAAAAAACAAAGAATCAAATTTTTTCAGTGGGAAATCAGTCTTGAGTCTGCCCACCAAGCTGACCTCTAAATAAAGTAGGGAGATAATGAATAAATAGCCTCACCTGAAAATGAAGAACACCTGTTCCACTATCCAGGATGCCAGGTGGTTCAGGGGTAGGATTTCTCCATCTGGGTTTGTTGAAAAGTCAGAGGCCAGCCAGGCTCAGTGGCTCAGCCTGTAATCCCGCGCCTTGGGAGGCTGAGGTGAGTGGATTGCCTGAGCCCGCAGGTTTGACACCCGCCTGGCAACTGGCGAGACCTCATCTCTACAATAAATCAAAAAATTAGCCAGGTGTGGTGGCACGCACCTGTAGTTCCAGCTACTTGGAAGGCTGAGGCGGAAGGATCGCTGGAGCCTGGCAGGTTGAGGCTGCGGTGGCTGGGAGCGGTCACTGCACTCCAGTCTGGGTGACAGAGTGAGACTCCAACTCAAAAAAAAAAACAAAGCAGCCACTCTCCTGGAGCCAGGCCTGCCTTCCTAAGTATTGATTTTCGCTTAAAGTCAGGAGTTCTTAGCTTCTTTCACCTAGGCTGGGGGTTGGGGACTGGGCTGCAGTGTTCTGCTCCATGGCTGGGTGGCTGTGGATGTGTCAAGGAACAGCTCTCTGGGCGCTGATTTTTCTCATCAATGAGGATAAAGCAGCCACCTGCATAGCCATCAGTGTGCCATGAGGCTTCCGTGAGATATAGTCTGTCAAAAGACTTTCTCAACAATCATCAACTTACAATATGTCACCCAATATTCTTTCAGACGGGAATTTTATTTTCAGGAAAGTTCCATTTCTAATGTGTCTTTTGTAAACACCCACTGGTCTAAGACACCTAAGACCCTTCCCTTCCCGGCCCAACCACTGCCTCAGGAGAAAAGCAGACTGCAGGTCCCCCACCTTCCTCTCACTGGCCTCCTGGCCCACTTGCTGCTTCTTGTCCTCCAGTGCGGTCTGAGGATTTGCAAAACTTCACGTTCACAAACACTAGGCCCTGCCAAACCTGTCTCTTGAGAACAGCAGTAAGCCCCAGGCCTTCACATGTGTCTTAAGCACAGCTATGCAGACCTGACTGCTGCCTGTCAGTGACCCTGTGTCCTGCTATGAAGACCCTCCCGGGTCGTAGAGCCTGTGGGCGATCACCGCACAGCCCTGGAGGGAGCTCTCTGAGGAGTCAGTCTTGGCCGCTGGGCTTCTGTAAACTCAGATGGGCAGGGCCAGCTCTCCTCCCTGTGGGCAGCAAAGGAAAAGCTGCCTCTCCTCGTCACCACCAAGGTGGCACCCCCAGCATTGCCCTCCATCACCTGAGCTTGGTCTGCCGCTTCCTTCACTGCACCTCATGCAGCCTGCATAGGGCCTGGTGCACCATATGCCAGCAATCACTATTTGCTACATGACTGTGCCAACCAAGCAACTTATTAGCAAAATGCAGGAGAACGGAAAGGTATTTCAGGAGGCGGCATGCCCATCCTCCTTCCACCCAATGGTTTCCATACTGTTCCAAGTATGAGGCCTCCTTTCAGTCTCAAAATATTTCTCCAGTCTCCACACAAAAGTAGTTACATTATTTAATATCCATTAACTGAGACCAGAAAACACTCAAATGCGACCAGGACTTCAATACTACTTGGAAATAAAATAACGTAAGCCACAGCATGTATATGAATTGAATATACATACCGCCTAAAACACATTGGTTGGGGGTTAAGAAATCATGCAGGCCGGG